GCTAAGGTCGCAGGTTCGAGACCTGCATGGGCCCATTCTAATTTTGCCTTAAAATTCCTTTTCATTTTCCCTCCAAACAAAGAGCATATGCTCTCCTCCTCCTCTTTTTCGTACTTTTTCCATATTAATTTCCATGAAAGTGGAAGGAGAACAACATCAAACTTTTTTTCTCCTTTTTCACTTTCTGTTTCAACTTTTTCTTTTTTTGGATTTTTTGCCACCAAATTTCAGCAATAGCAGCACAATTACCCATAAAATGGCCAACCAAGGAACAATGAAAGTGATATCCCACTCAAATTACCTTACAATTTTTTCTAGATATTCTCCCACGTATATCATCCCTTATATTATAACAATCACAATCTATATATGACATTGCCATCTATTCTCAAGAGATATACTACAGAATCAAACGTCATGATTTGAATCTTAAATTTTTCATTTTTTGTAATTAAAAATATACTATTTACGTCGTAATTATATATTTTTGGCTTTACTAAAAAATAGAACCTTATTAATAATCAATCCTTGCCTGAAGAACTCCCATGGAGAATGCATTCCCTCCGGCAGCTCCAAGAGACCATCTTTAGCATAAATGCACCTGTAAACCGGGCCAGCGGACGGAGATTTCTCTGTGGCCGGCCTTGCTTCTTCCACCTTCACCGTCCACGAGACCGACATTGTCCTGATTCCTCCCTCTTCAAAGAGCTCGTGAAATGTAATGAACTTAGCTATAGGCTCTGTTGAATCTTGAATTTTATCACAGAAAGAAGAAACAAAAGAAACAGTGGGGAAGGTGGTTGAGCTGAAGCAGAGGCATTAAATTCGAGATCGACACATCTGAGCAGTTTTATGCGGTATTTATGAATATTGATATCACTCTGCCTTCTTATTTATGATGGTAGATGAAGGTTGTTGAATCTTTTCTTTTCTCCACTTTTTGTCAAGAAAACTAAAATTAACCCAATTACCCCACCAATGAGTTGCATAGCAGCATATTCTCTAGCAGCACATGGTTTTAAGTTGGATAGACCTACGGAGACGTAATATTTATCCCAAAATGGTTGTTTAGATCTTGAATTTTGGTGTTCATATGTAGCTATTGATATAACGTGACACTAACGTCACCAATAGAGCTATCTCAATGCCAAAGTACTTTATAAAGTTTTAAAATTGCAGCCTATGTTTGAGAAGAAAAAATTATTATTTTTATATAATTCATAATTAGATAGATTTAATAATAATATTAATTGAATTTTTTTTTTTTTTGTAATTGTATAACAAAAAACATTTATTTTTTATCCTTTAACTTATTTCGCTTACTTCTTATATAACTCAATCTCAAAAAATGAAATTTTTTACTTTCACCAAAAAAAATTATCTTTGAATCATTTAAATTGTTATTATAATTATCAAAACTAAAGCCAATTAATGATGCTTATATATATATATTCATCTTTTTTTCTTCAAAAATGCTACATTATGTGGTATGGAAAAAAAATATTGAACATGAAACACATGGTGATCTAATCAAACATGGCATGTATAGGAATTAATTTGAATGGAAAACAAGGGAAATTATAGATTGAAATTTTCTGAGTTTAGGACCAACTTTTTCTAGTGATGTCGAATCGATGGGCAACTTTATTGAAGTAGTTTGCATTGGATCAATAAGAAAATTTGTTGACTAATAAGAGATGACTAGTAGGACAAGAACAATTATGGCCAGATCATGCATATGAGTGGACCTATACCACTATTCTCTGTTTTCAGTCCAACGGACTGCTCTCCTATCTCACTAAATTGTTTCTGTTTTCAAAGACGATCCAAACAATTTTAATATCCACGCATAGAATTTAGTCTCTTGCTCCAAGTTTAACCAAGGTATCCAGACAATGATTATGATAATCAAACCTAGCTCCGTATTGATTTAGTAACAAAAATTTGGGTATGGAATGGGTGATTTCACTTGCTCTGCCTGTATACGATGAGTCCAGCACAATGGTTTATTTATTTATTTTCTTGAACAAGAAGAATTGCTTTTTTTAATGTGGAAGGTGAAGATACTCTTAAATTAGATTTGGTACACTAAATAACTTAAATAATTCAGTAGTAATTTTTTTTATTAAAAATAAAAAAATTTGATTTTGAATCATATGATATACAAGTAAGATAAAAAATGTTGTTTTTTATTATGTAATCAACATAAAAAAA